GTTGCGATTTGACAGCATTTGTGTGTGTGTTTGTGTATATGTATGCTTTTTGGGGGGGTATTTTTGCATTTGTGTGTGTGTGTGCTTGTGCCTGGAAGTCACGACGACCTCTGGCAACTCACACTGGGGCATGGAGGACGTTCAGAGAAGTGGCTTGATAGCCTGCCTCTGCCTCCCAGCCCTGGTATTCCTTGGAGGTCTCCCATCCAAGTACTTGCCAAGGTCGGCCCTGCTTAGCTTCCGAGATCTGACGAGATCCGACTTGCCTGGGCTATCTGGGTCAGGGCTTGTATACATATGCTTTTTAATGAGATCGAGTTTGGCGTAGTGGTTAAGAGCAGCGTACTCTAATCTGGAGAACTGGGTTCGATTCCCCACTCCTCCACATGAAGCCAGCTGGGTGACCTTGGGTCAGTCACAAAGTTTTCTCAGCCCAGGAAACAAATCCAGCTCACCACGGAAAGAGCTAGAATTTCAGGCTGCCAGACAGTCTTCGGATCACCTGGCTATACTACACCCACCACCATACAATAAATATGTATTAATTCCACCCCTGACTATGTGTGGCCATAGATAGGGATAAAAGTAACTGTAAGCCACTCAGAGACCCCACGAGGTTCGAGCGGGATACAAGTCGAAAGCATAAATAAATCATTCATTCATTCACATGCTTTTTAATGCTCACAAAGTAGAATTTTTGCTCACAAGACTCCACAGCTTATAGGGGACATTGCCCACCACCATACAATAAATATGTATTAATTCATTCACGTGCTGTTTAATGTTTTGGGGTTGTTTAGATGTTTTGATTTCATTGCCTTAGCAGACCCTGAATTGGGTGGAAAGGCGCCCTAGAAAGGTTCTTAATGAATAAATTCGGCCATAAGATTTCTATTTGGGAGGGGCTGATGCTTTATATAGCTTGTCGTCCCCCCCCACACACACACCGAAAGAAGAAATGCTGCACATGTGTTCCGTCGGCATGAAACCTACCAGTCGTGAACGTGTCTTTCTTGGGGCAGAGCTTGGATTCCCCAGTCTCAGAATGTTTTTTTTAAAAAAAATGGGACGCCCTCAGACTTGCCTAAAACGACCCTCTTGGAGTGTGCTGAAGGTTGCGCTCCCCCCCCCCTGTAGAACCAGCAGTGGCAAGAGTTCCGTCATCAACGCCATGCTGTGGGACAAAGTGCTCCCCAGCGGCATCGGCCACACCACCAACTGCTTCCTCAGTGTGGAGGGAACGGACGGGGACAAGGCTTACCTCATGACCGAAGGCTCCGACGAAAAGCAGAGCGTCAAGGTAAGGCCTCCTTGGGACTCTGAGCTGCCGCTTGGGAGCCTTATGGCGAGGGCAGCTTCTTGGTCATTTAACTTGGAAAACCTTTTGACCTTCTCCTCACGTGTTGATTTCTTTGTAGACGGTCAATCAGCTTGCCCACGCCCTCCACATGGATAAAGACCTAGAAGCTGGCTGCCTGGTGCACGTGTTCTGGCCGAAGGCCAAGTGCGCCCTCCTCCGAGACGACTTGGTGTTAGTGGACAGGTACGGCGGTTGATTTTCGCCCGGCACCGAGAAGGTGTCCCAAGGGCAGCGGGTCTCTGGTTTTCCCTCTTGGCAGTGGTTTCCCCTCTTTAAACGCTCGGCTGGCGTTAAAAAAGCTGGCGAAGCGCCAACAGGAGCAAGAGGAAGTCTCGTGACGGAACTTGAAGACAGCCTCTGGCACTGGGCCGCGCTTACAGCCCTGTGCCCGCCAAACACAAGTGTGAGCACAAAAGCGTCCTCTGTCGTTTCTAAGTCATCCGTGCTTGGCCTTTTGAAAGGCAGCGGGCTTGCAGTGGGTGTCAGGAAGGGTAATGAAAACGTCACGGCAAATGTTTCCGAACACGGACAAGCTCCAGAAATTGTTGCAAAACCGGAGAATCCTGTTGCGCCTTCACGCTAGAAAGTCTGATTTAAATGGGAGATTGGTGAGAGGAGGGACCATGGTTCAGTGGGAGAGCATCTGCTTGGCATGCAGAAAGTCCCAAATTCAATCCCTGGCTTCGCCAGCTAAAAGGATTAGGCAACAGGTGATGTAAAAGACCTCCCCCTGAGACCCTGGAGAGCTGCTACCTGTCTGAGTAGACCATCCTGGCCTTGCTGGACCAAGGTTGTGACTCAGTATAAGGCAGCTTCAAAAAGAGCTTCCCCATGCAGAATTGCCTGGGGCCACAGGGTCTTTGATGAAGCTGCGCCGCAGCCCGCGCGCTTAGTGAGGATGACGGAGATCTGGGGTAGAGACTGTGTCACCATGCTAAGCCCGTGTCACTGCTTTGCTTAGGTGGTGAGTGTTCCCTCTAAGCTGAGTGAGTGTGAGCTAGCTCACAGCCTTTTAGCCGCCAACTCACACATTTTTGTCGTAGCTCAGCAAGGATGGCTGCGGAGCAAACTGATTCATGCAGTAGCCAAATGGCTCGCTCACAACTTTCATGCTGGCAGCTCCCCCACCCCCAGTGACCCCTGCCACCACCCCTGCTCCACACCCAGAAGCTGACAAACCCCACCCCCCCCCGGCCTGGAGAAAAATGGCTTCCTGACCCCAAAGTGGGGATCAGCATTTCCCTGGGTATGTAAGAAAGGGCCACAAGAAGGTACAAATTTATTTCTCTGTTTGTATTTGTAGCCTGGCCAAACGGATGGCTAGGTCACATTCTTTGTGTTCTCCCCCGCAGCCCTGGCACAGATGTAACCACTGAGCTCGACAGCTGGATTGACAAATTCTGTTTGGATGCCGATGTCTTTGTTTTAGTTGCCAATTCAGAATCAACTCTCATGAATACGGTAATAATTTTTTTTGGGGGGGGTTTGGGATTTCAACATTTAATTGCGGTGCATTCTCCCTGCCCCCTCTTCTCCAAGGAGCACAGTGGTGTGCAGCGGTGATCCTCACAACAGCCCTGCAAAGTAGGTTACAGTTGAGTTACTGGATCTGAAATGTCGCTTGAACTGGAGATGCCCATGCTGTTATCACAAGAATTCTGCCTGTGGGGATTTCCCCTCCCTTTGTTCAGGAGACCCATCCCTTTCTTCCAAACAACCATATCTAACTTGTCAGCATTTGCTTCATGGCTTCTCGAAAAACCTGTTTTGCTGTCTAGCTTGCCTATGCCCTGCCCAAGCCAGTTAAGAACATAAGAACATAAGAGATGCCAATGTTGGATCAGGCCAAAGGCCCATCCAGTCCAACACTCTGTATCCCACAGTGGCCAGAAATACCAGTGCCATCAGGAGGTCCACCAGTGGGGCCAGGACATTAGAAGCCCTCCCACTGTTGACCCCCCCCAAGCACCAAGATGACAGAGCATCACTTGCCCCAGAGTCCCTATCTATACCTTGTGGCTAATAGCCACTGATGGACCTCTGCTCCATATGCTTATCTAATTCCCTCTTGAAGCATGGCCCATATAGTGACGAGACAGGGCTTTCCCACCTGCTCTCCTCCACAAGGCTTGTCTGTTCCCCTGCATTTTCTTTCAGGCATCAGGCTCAAAGAGGAGGAGGAGGAGATTGGATT